AAAGGCCTACACGATACCACTGTGCCACTCTTAGCTATATATAATTTTACCCAACTAGAGAAAGAAAACAAAGCAGAAATGGTCATTTGAAGGCATAGCACAGAAGGCTGTCAAGAGGCAGAGGTAGAGCTGTGGAGGGGAGACACAGGAGCAGCAGCAGTCAGGATGGATGGACATCTGCTCTCTGATGCCATGAAAGGGCACGAGAATGACTTCAAGGGCAACTACATTACTTGCTGCCATGATCTTCAATCAGCCAATCAATCAAAACTAATAATTTAGTGCTTAACATACAGCAAATAATAAATAAACATTGGCTGGGAAGCCAACAAGTGGTTAAGGTGCTGGACTTCCACGTGGCCAACTGGGGTTTGGGTCTCAGACCTGGTAACTTGAAACTCTGTGTGTGTGTGTGTGTGTGTGTGTGTGTGTGTGTGTGTGTGTCCAAAATCCTAAGAGGAGAATGGAAGAAAACTGATTGCAGCATGGCCATTCTCCCCTGGGAGCTGATTTCTCACTTTCTGTCTCTCTGTCTCCTTCTGTCTCTCTGGTGAGTGCACATGCCCTATAACAAAAATCACTCTCTCAAAAAAAAAAAAATTGATTGGACGAATGAATGAACTGATGAATAAATGAATGCACAGCATTTATTAGGGGCCTACCATGGGTCCAGTACTGGTACAGACCACCACTTCTCCTCCTGGTTTGACAGCAGAGAAAAAGGAGAAAGTTGTGCTGAAAGAAAGGGGCCCCCAACTAACAAAAAGTGATGCAGGCTGTTACCATCCCCCACAAAGACCACTGACAATAGCTGTGAAGTTAAAAGCAGTAAGTTAGATCTGCATCAAGGCTGCTCCTATCCCTGCCATGCCGAACAAACTTCAGTTATAGAACAAAAAGAGAGCTTTGTGGCAGATTAGGAAACCAGATCAAATTTACTCTTTGTTTAGGAGCAACTATTTCACCCACTATCCTAGAAAGGGCCCTTTTATTCAACTTTTTATTTTATTACATCTCTGGGCCACCCTATTCTTTTCCCTTAAAACTTTGGGGCTTTCTACCTTTTTTTCTCATACTTACATCATTTTCTCTTTCCATTCTTTCTTTCTCTCTCTGCAGAGCATCGCACATAATCTTGTTCTCACTCAGCCTTCTTGACAAGTTCAAAGTTCTCTTCCTGTCCAAAAAAAAAAAATTAGTATTGGAATCACATATTGCCATCTGGGTGTCAAGGTGGGAGAAACTATAGAGAATCTGGCCTTCTGAAGGGATAGGATTGAGGTGGAGGAGAAGGGAACTTGGGTACAAAGGAGTGGCATTATAGACAGATGGGATGGATGCGGATTTACAAAAAAGTGACTTAACAACATGCCTGAAGACCTGAAGCTGGCATCGAGATGACAGTTTCTTTTGGATTAACTGGGAGTATGAGTGGCCAAAGAGAGAAAAAAATAAGTGGGAAAAATCTCAAAACTGACTTATAAGATTTAGCAATAAGTGGAGCCTTGTTAAAAACCTACCCAATCATGAAAATAATCATCTCTGTTTTGAAAAAAAACAAAAAACAAAAAAAAACACCTCACTCAGCGAAACCTGGATCGGTGTGGTTTAGGTTGTGTGGTTCCCTCCCACAGTGTGCGGACAGGCATCTGGACTCAAGTTCAAAAGGAAGAAGGGGTGTTGGAGGGCTTCTGTCCAAGGCTACAGGGAACGGAACTGAAGTTTTGAGCTTCTGGTATGATGGGGCAACTTAGCTAGTTCTACCTTCAGTGCTTCCCACCTCCTACCTGCATACGTACACATGTGCATACCTCACAAACACACTTAAGCTAATCCTACTAGTTGTGTTTTTTGTTCCAAGATTTTTTATTTGAATGCTGGTGCCCAAACTGCTGTGCGCTTCTAGCCGACCCTGAGGTAGTAATTCGAGAGGGGCTACCCGATGACAGTGCTGACTGCAGGCTCCTTGCTCCCCATCCCCATTGGCTCCTGCTGGCTCTTCTGGTCCTGCTTCACTTCCTCAAAAGGCAGAAATAAGAAAGGACTCTGAGTCTGCACAGAAACCTGCTCAATGGTTACAAAAACCTTCCCTGAGACCCATGGCTGTGCTGGGGCCTACATTTCTAGGCTGCTTTCTGGTCTCACACTCCTTCCCTCCTCTTTTTAGGGGAAAGATAAATTTCTCTCCTTAACTAGGGTGTATATCTTCTGGACTTGGTCTAAGAACTGTAAATTTTCACAACCCTTGCCTTCCTGGGCCCCTTATTTCTATCACCTACCAGTGCGGCAGCCCTGAGTTGCCTGATCTGTTTGTGGAGTCGTTGACACTCTTTGTACTTCTCTAAGAAACAGGCTTTCCCGGCCTCAACCTTTGCCTTTAGGCGTTCCACCTCTTGCACTAACTGCTCCTCCACTGCTGCTTTCTTGTTCCTAGGCTCCTGAAGTATAAGATACAGAGTCCTCAGAATTAGAGGCCTTCTGAAAGCAGGAGGAATAAAGAATTGCTATTAGACAGGTGGAGAGCTCTGAGGTCTCAAAAAATATTCCATGATGGGATCAGAAGATGGCGTAATGGTTATGTCACTGGACTCCCACACAGTTGAGTGCAGTTCGAGTCCTGGACCTGGCGGCTTAAACTCACACCAGGTACGTGTGCATGCATGCCAAAAATCCCAAGAAGAGAATGGAGAAGAGACTGAGGCATGGCCATCCACCCCGGGGGGTTATTTCTCGCTTTCTGCCTCTGTCTTTCCAGTGAAAGCACATGCCCTATAGCAAAAATCTCTCTTAAAAAAATTCGATGAAAACTAAGGAAACCCATACCTGTCACAAATAAGTTCAAACATTTGAATGGCTACAGGTTATTTAAAATAGTGATTTCACTGCTACATCTGAGGTCACAAAACTCACACACACCTATAGGGGCCAGGCAAATAATGCAACTGAATGAAAGAGTTAAAAGCAACAAAACAGGGAAGAATTCAGTCAAATGGAGAACACACAACCCCTACTCAGCTCTGGATACTGCTACTGGGCAGGAATGTGGGTTCAATGTTGTCAGATCCTTTAGTTTTTCAAAAGAAACTGGAAAAAACAACATCCTTATGGAAAACACTCATTTAAAAATGTTGGAATTCATCTGTGGGCTGAATTTCATCTATGTATGAACTGCTGATTTGCAATTCCTTCATCTGAAGTAGAACTCTTATGATATAGTACTCTTTACTATATAATGCTAAAATATATAGTATCTTATATACAGTAGACACTCAGTAATTGACTGATATGATTACTGAATGATGTATTAATACTGTGAGTTAGAATCCCAACAGTTAGACGTTAGGATTTCTCATCAGTTCAGAAAATGGAGCTCCCTGTATCCATCAGTACCATGAGACCTATTTTCCAGCATATATTACAGGAAATTATTTGGCAATTAGGCTTTCATTACTATATTACTGTAACTCAGAATGATTTATAATGACGATAATTATTAATATATTAATTATAACAAAATTTGCTTGAGTGTTATAAAATTACTCTTTATAGAGCTCTTTATAATCATTAATTTGTCTGCCCTCACACTAACTCTGTAAAAAAGGGGAGAGGATTATTCTGTGCGATTTCTAGCCCATGAATCTATTTACTACAAACTGTCATGATGTTTACTTTTCAATATGCCTTTATCTTTCATTACACATTAGAAATGTCCACCTCTCCTAAATATTTTATAGATGGCAGAATCTCTGCCCTTTTGGGTACAAAGCAAAACATCCAGAGATGAATGCTACACTAGTCTGTCTATCCTTTCTACTCCCTCAAAATAAATGTCTCATCCCTTCCTTTTTTCAGCCTCCTCCCACATAGCTATCCAAAGTCAGACATGCCGTTAACTCCAGGTGTTTCTTCATTGCAGTCGCTTCTTTCTGCTTCATTTCCTCCACTGTCTGCTCAAGCTTCTTCTGGTGCTCCCTCTGCACAAAAACAGATTTCAGTACCACTGCTGTGAATATGCTTGCACACATACACTCATGCATACATGCACACAGTGGGAAAGGCCCTGCTGAGCCAATGAGCAAGCAGGATGTAAAAGGAGAAGCAAGTTTTCTTTTTAGCTGAGTGAAGCCATGAGATATCTTGTTTCAGATGGCTTACTCTGAAACCTTTCCCAGAGCCGGTGATATCCAGGTTAGAGAGGTCTTCAAAAAATTCCTGAAAAATGTTTATTATGAAAAAACTATGCATGTATTAAACTTTTTTGGCACCAAAATAAACTCATACTTTAATTCCATTTTTCCATAAACTTTTAAAAATTCTTTCATATGATAAAGTTCTTTCATATAATAAAGAACAATGTATTTTCTTTTTTTTTTTGGAGAGGTTTTTGCTATAGGGCACGTGCACTTGCCAGACAGACAGAGAGAGACATAGAGACGGAAAGCGAGAAATCACCCCCCAGAGGGGATGGTCACGCCACAATTCCTTCTCCTCCATTCTCCTCTCGGGATCCTGGGCACGCACGCACACGCACCCGGCGTGAGTTTTAAGCCACCGGGTCCGGGATGTGAACCGCGGTTGACTACGTGGGAGTCCAGCGACATAGCCATTACACTAACTGCTGGTTCCCAAGAACAACGTATTTTCTTGCAAATGCCTGAAAATGTAATTTTTCCCATACTCTACCTGTTCAGTTAAACTGAGAAAGAGCTGGCCATTTTCCTTTTTCAGATGCTCTAATTGCTCTGTTTTATCTTGATCTCCCTGAAGAAGCTTCTCCATTTCTTTCTCTTGAGTTGAGAGCTGGACCTAAAGCAAAAATAGTGACTACAACCAAGATACAAGAGAAGGAAAACTAACCAGGAACAATTTTTTTAAAATGTAAAGTAACATAAAGCGATGTGTTTTCCTAGTAACTCCTAACTGTTTAATATCCTTGAAACTCCTTATCTAGTATCCCTGAAACTCCTAATATCCCTGAAACCACTCTTTTATTCTATTAGTCTAAGACTCAACTGGTGAAATCATACAAATCACTCTGCAAAGTCCATCTTTAAGGCACAGCCTTTTTTTTTAAAGAATTATTTTATTTAACTGTATTTATTTATTTTAATTTGACCAGGGAGAGACAGAGACAGAGAGAGAGAGAGAGAAAGCAAAGCGCCAGGTCCGGGACTCGAACTGTGGTCGGCCATGTGGGAATCCAACGTCCTTAACCACCACACCACCTGCTGGCCCAAGGCACAGTTTTTAAGAAATGATAGTAGTTCTATTCAGGAGGCGGAGGCAGGAGGATTGCAACATATCAAGACTCTGTAACTTTATATTCCAGGCTTTTTCCCCCCTCTTTATTCATGATAGAGCATGTGCATATGAGAGGAAGGAAGAGAGGAAGGAAAGGGGAGAGAGAGAGCAAGCAAGCGAGAGACCCTCTCCACAGAGTCTGTCTGGTCCCACTGTGATTCCCTTCTTCCAGTCCTCAAGCCCCTTGGATCCTGGGCACTCGCATGTGTTCCTGGCATATTTCAGGCTGACAGGGTCAGGGATCTGAACTGCAGTTGTTAGATGGGATTGGGCTTCTCTTGAGCAGTACGTTACTGCTATACCACAAAGCTGGTCCTATATGTATTCCAGGCTTTTGAGTAAGATTTTGCTTGAAAAGATTTTGTAGCTAAAAGAAAATGGTTTGTAAATCATTAGAATTAATAACTGTCATCCATCTTTTTGTTGTTGTTACTTAGTATTTATTTATTTATTTATTTGGAGAAGTTTTCTTTTTTTGCTATAGGGCGCATGCATTTGCCAGAAAGACAGAGAAAGAGAGACAGAAAGCGAGAAAACATCCCCCAGGGGGAATGGCCACACTGTAATCCCTTCTCCTCCATTCTCCTCTCGGGATCTTGGGCATGCACGCACTTGTGCCCAGTGTGAGTTTAAGCCGCCGAGTCCAGGACTTGAACCATGGTCAACTACATGAGAGTCCAACGACACAGCCATTATGCCAATTCAGCTAGAATTAGAGGGAAATAAAATTTGGAACCCATACAACTGCAGTGAGAGCACAAGTTATGGGACATAGCAAGCAGATGGGGTGAAGGGATGCTCTCCTGAGCTACAGAAGGAGTGGTCTGGTGGTTAAGAGAAAACACAAGTCAAATTCATTAGAGTTGTCCACAGTCAGCAATGGTGAGCTTCTTGCTGGTCTTGCCATTCCTGGACTCAAAGCTACTTCACGGTTTCCACGATATTCATGCCCTCTTTCACCCTGTCAAAGACCATGTGCTTGCCATCTGACCACTCAGTCTTGGTAGTGCAGATGAAAAACTAAGAACAGTTTGTGCTAGGTCCAACATTTGCCATCAGCAAGATGCTAGGACCTGTATGTTTGAGGATGAAGTTCTCATCAGTGAATTTCTCCCTGCAGATGGACTTGCTGCCAGTATCATTAAGGTGTGTGAAATCACTACCCTGGCACACAAACCCTGGAATAATTCTGTGAAAGCAGGAACCCTTATAACCAAATCCTTTTTCTCCAGTGCTTAAAGCATGAAAGTTTTCTGCTATCTTTGGAACTTTATCTGTAAATAACTTGAAGGAGATGCGGCCCAAGGGCTTGCCGTCAACAGCAATTTCAAACACAGTGGGGTTGACCATGGCTGATGGTGTGAGACTCAGGTGGTGGCATCTGCAAACTGTCATCCATCTTAAGAGCTTATAAGCTCTGCCCTAAATCTCTCCTGCCAGTCCAACGCCCAGCAAAAAGTCAGAATTCATGTGCATCTGAGGTGGGCCTAGCCCTGCCCCTTTAACCAGAAAGCCTGTGCCCTAAATCTCTCTTGCTGACCCAATACCTAATGAAAAGCCAGGTAGGGTGGCTTCTTTCTGTCTCTTTCTGTCTCTGTCTCTCTCTCTCCCTTACTCTTTTTCTCAAAATTTTTCTCTTTTATATATGTATGTTTTTTAAGAATCTGTAGGTACTGTCTCTTATCTCTGGTCTCTATCATTTCTCTTGCTAATTTCAGAATCCATGTGCATCTGAGGTAGGCTAGCGTTGCCCCTTTAACCAGAAAGCCTCTGTCCCTTTTGCCCAGTGTGCTAACACCACGTGGTAATAATTTTTTTGCCTTTTTCTTAAAAAAAGTTTTTTCCCTTTTCTTTTTTCTTTTTTTTTCGGGGGAAGTTTTTGCTATAGGTGTGTGCGCTCACCAGAAAGAGAGACAGAGAGACAGAAAATGAGAAATCACCCCCCTGGGGGGATGGCCATGCCACAATCCCTGTTCCTCCATTCTCTTCTTGGGATCTTGGACACACACGCACACGTACCCAGCATGAGCTTAAGCCACCAGGTCTGGGACTCGAACCACGGTCGACTATATGAGAGTTCAGCAACGTAGCCATTACACTAACTGCTGCATTGTTTTGTTTTATCTTTTTTTTTCTGTCTTTTTTCTTTTGTTTCATTCCTTTTGTTTCTGACTTTCTCACCTTGCTTTTCACCTTCTACACATTGAGTGTCTAGGCAGGTCTAGGTACACAGTAGTAAAATATCTAAATAATTTAGGTTCACACAAAACTTCAACCCCACTGAACTGGTACAGAAAGGGAGAAACTCATCTTTATAAATCAAAGTTGAAATTCCTTTCTGTGGATACCACATTGCAAAACACAGCAGTAGAGGAGAAATAGGCATAGAAGTATCTCATAGTAAAGTGAGTCATATGAGCTTACAGTAGAAGAAATCTCTAACATATTAGCCAAACATGTATATTCCACCAAATGACTAAAAAATCAGAGAATAGAGTCTGCAAAGTGAGCGGCTGGGAGAAATAAAGAGATGCAGTGAGCATGGCTCATCTCCTCCCATAAACCTCTGAATTCTTAGTTGAAATCCTGCAGCTCAGCCCAGGTGCACCTATTCCCTTGAAACTGTCAGGGCTTTGTAATATCCAATTGCATTGACGAAAGTGCAGGTTCCTTGGTGAACAGCAGAGAAATGGAACTGTAAAAATACTGCAGGCCATCTCCTTCTGTATACCTCTAACTCAGAATTTACTTCAAGAAGGTTGGAAGTAATGTATAATCCATCAAATGACCAGAAACCACCACAGAGGCACAAGAAATATGGGAAATCAAGAAAATATCTCTCACCTAAGGGGAAAGAACAGTCCTTTATCATCCACAGACAGTACAATGGAACTCGTAGAAATGTCAGATAAAGAATTTAGGATATTCATAGTGACAATGCTAACAGAGATACAAGAGAAGAGAAACAACGAATTCCAGAAAATGCAGGAGAAAAGTGACAATGATTCCAAGAGGTGAGGAAGTTCTTCCATGATCTGAAAGAGGAAGTACACACCTTAAAAAAGAATCAAACAGAACTGTTAGAGATAAAGGCTGTAATACACGAAGTAAAAATCTCCCTTGAAAGTATTAAAAGCAGATTAGATTGTGTAGAAGATTGAATCTCAGATGTAGAAGACAGAATCTCTGACCTAGAAAAATTCTTCAAGAAGACTGAGAAAATAACCCCCCAAAATGAGAATAATATACATGTAATACTAGATAGATACCATTAGATGCCCAAACATCTGGATAATCAATATCCCATGAGGTGAAGAAACTAATCAGGGCATTGATAATCTATTCCATGAAATACTGGAAGAAAAATTTCCAAACCTAGAGAGGTATTCAAATATCCAGAACCAAGATATACAAAGGACCCCATATAGAATCAACCCAAGAAGATCATCTCCAAGGCACATCATGGCCAGATTGACCAAAATCACAGAGACAAGATACTAAAATTGACAAGAGAGAAACCTCATGTTACTTTCAAAAGATATCCCATCAGGCTAACATCAGACCTTTTGTCAGAAACAGTACAAGCAAGAAAAGAATGGGAAAATATATTCAAAATGTTAAGCAAAAACCAATTTCAACCAAAAATACTATACCCAGCAAGATTAGCCTTCATATGGGAAGAAAAGATAAAAACATTCTCACATAAACAAAACTTAAAAGAATTTACCAACACTAGACGAGGTCTTCGAGAAGTTCTGAAGGGAGTGCTATACCAGGAAAACCACAGACAGACAGACAAATAAGAGAACAAAAAGGCCAACTTAATGGTAGGGACAAGTTTGGAAATATCAATAATAATGCTGAATGTTAACAGAAAGGTCAGAACACAGTAATAATGCAAATTCAACAAAAAAAGAGATTACGTGAGACTGAATTGGTGAAATAAAATTCTATGACTTTTTTCTAAAACATTACTGATTTTCTTCTATGCTGTGTCTTCCAGAGTAAGAATTTTTGTTTCTTTTGAGTTGTTGGTAGGCTCAGCAATTTGTTAAAAAAAAGTTTTTAGTTGAAATAAATTTTTCTCCCTTTCTGACCCCTTTGCAATTGGAAAATATTGGTAAACATTTTTATTTTGTGGCAGAAGAGTTATTTGGATAAGTTCAATAATACAATAGTATCTGTTGTCTTGCATTAGAAATTGAATTCTTATGGGACTTCGTGCAAATAACAGACCAAACTGAGATTAACCTAATTGTTTTGCAAATAAGTTAGTTTATCCCTCTCTTTAGTAAAAGGGGAATGGAGAGAGAAAAAAAAATGTTTCAGAAGAAAATTACAGTGCACTTGTCACTAGATCCTAGCTTTGTCCATACTTTAAAATCTTTTGTGAATCGGGAACCAGCAGTTAGCGTAATGGCTATGTCGCTGGACTCCCACGTAGTCGACC